GGCTGACTACAGGAAGCCCGAGGCAGAGTTGCTCTGCCCCAGGCTTCCTGGAATCAGCCGCTGATCAGTTTCAGCAGCAGCTGACTTGGGGACACCTGGGTTTCTTAAGTTGAATCTGTATGTAAGTGAGAACTGGCGTCCAGATTCAGCCGCGGTTGAAACTGATCAGTTTCAGCAGCGGCTGACGCCAGTTCCAACTTACATACAGATTCAACTTAAGAACAAACCTACAGTCCCTATCTTGTACGTAACCCGGGGACTGCCTGTACACATCTCCAAGAGTCTTCCGTGGACTATCTAGAAATCCTGAACATATATACTTAAGAATTTCTCTCCTTTCCAGCTTTGGGAATCAGAGTGGTGAAAATAAAAGGAGAGCAAAGGGAAAATAATCCAATAAAAGAATAAAGCCTTAAGATTTTAAGGTTACCACACTAAACAAATAAACTACAAGTTAGCGGTAGTTATACAATGTGATTTGTTTTCATGGAGTTCAATACAGATGCACAGATTCAAAAATGAATGGAATTTACTTTGCTAGTGGCATTCCTTTTGCAGAATAATCTCTAGGACAAACATTGTAATTACATAGGAAAAAAAGTCAGATTCTGACAAAAAACAACAGTGCAAAGCAGAACCTGTTGTCACAGATTAAAAAACAAGGCAAAGCAATTTATATTTTACTCTTAATACATTACTTCTGAAAGAGCAGAGTTGGGAACAAATTTCAGTTAAAAAACCGAACCTTAGATAACTAAAGAGTGAAATGCATCCAATTAAAAAAAATTTCGTTGCCATATTTCAAATCATTCACAAACACCAGTGATTTTTACAGATTCATAACCCCGCTGCTTGGTAGTAATGAATGTGTATTTATATATATAAAATATATACAAGTGATGGTGTCACTATACACTATGAAAATGAATGTCTTATAAGTAGGTCATTAGAATAAGCTATAATTTTACATACTTACCTTGTGGAAAGGAATTTGGTTGCACTAAATAAAGGAAAGCATGGACTAGTCTAAACAAAATTCCTATTGGTCCAGGTTCATGATATGCATATGTATCATATGCCTTCGCAGGCACAAACCCAAAATCCAAAGTTCCAGAAGTTGGTTTTTGTAAAGGTTGCACCTCTGAAATAGTACTTCCCCAAAGCAACAACAGCAGTAAACAAAGTTCCACAGCCATAGCTAACAGTATTCATAAAATAGGAGGTAGAGATTTTTCTCCACAAAGTCTATAAATCTTCAGAATACTAGAAAGCTCTTCATAAAGCAAATGCCTTTGTCCTTTGCTAAGTCTTGGATAACGTACACTCACTTCAGAATGGTGTGGATGCTCTTCACAGAACTGAGGCAGTGCACCATCTCTGGCAAAGACAGAAAACAACTGTTTAATAAGCGCCCTCTCTCCACAAAGATATGAAAATGTGAGATGATGGCAATCTCATGTGGAAACATAACAAAAATTATTATACTGGCAAACTAAATATGACAGAGTAGAGACCAATTTATTCCAATGTGTGAAAAAAACTGATTATACAACAATACTTGAGGAAACCACCAATTAGTCACAGTTTTGACTGAGCCTTTAAAATAAGACAAAAAAAGTTATTCTTCATGCTTCAGTCCTAATACGGTAAGTGAAATTAGAGGAACAAATCTTTATCCATAATTATAATACATTTTACTTAGTTACATTTGGTCACATAATAATCAAACAGTACATCTTATTAATTCTTTAAACACACCACTCTAAATACATGTAGACAGCCATACAAGGACTGATCTGCATAAGCAAATACAAAAGGACATAACTTTTCTACTTTGAGAATTCATAACTTCCCAAGGTTGAAAAACTTTTCATATAGGTTAATAGTGGTTTTTCCTACCTTTACTTTTGTGGTATTATTTATTAACTGAGGAAACATATGTTACCACCTATCATAGAAGGATTTAAACTTTCAATTTGTTTTATAGCATCGGTAAAATATAGTCATGAAAACAATATTTTCTGGCACAAAACATTGTAGGGACTTAAGACAGAACATGTGGATTTCAATAAAATATGGATTAAAACATTAACCTCATGCATTTTCATATACTAAAAATGTAATGTACTTCATTTCCTCAAACATAAAATGTCCCTCCCAAAATATCCCCACATATTTAGTATTATAGATGCTCCTTTCAACACAGCAAACAACGTAATACAAGTTATTATTTGCCTTCAATTTGTAACCATAAAAAAGGGAAGCTAAACCATTTCACAGATGCTGAATTTTCTAGCTTCAAGGAACACCTCTGCCACCGGTAGATAAGGAAACATTACCTGTAAAACATGAATGGACCTCATCCATACATTTCTACTAACTTTAAAGGTTCTCCACAAGGGTCCATCCTTGGTTTCCTTCTCTTCTCCCTCTAAAAAGTAACTTCATCCACAAATGCAAATTCAACTATCATCTGTATGTAACTCACTATCTTTCAGTAGAAAGACCAGTATCCAGTCCAAACTTAAAACATGCCCCGTCCCCAATATTTTCTCATAGATGTCAGCTTAAGCTCAACGTGACTATCAGAACCCTTAATCACCACTGCTAATCCATCCCACAAATCCTCCCAGCTACCACCTCTCTCAACTACAGTGAAGAACACGACCAATCTGACCTGTCACTGAAGTCTAATCTAGTTGTCATTTTCAACTCAGATCTCTTTCAAAGTCCTCAGCTAAGTTCTCATCATTTCACATTGTAATTACTCCAGCTTCCTCCCCTCTGGCCTTTACAAATGCAATAATCACCCACTGAAATGCATTCACAGCGCTGCTCCAAAGCTCATTTTCTTAACCCATTGCTTTGACCACACCATGCATCCCATCACTGGCTCCCTCTATTATTTCAGTCATCAGTTATTTGTCTTATTATTGTGACCTATGACCACTGTTCATGACTTTCCTGAGGTGAACTACCCAGACTAGCTCATCCTTTGAAGGGGCATGAACCTGGTGAGCTTCTAGAATGCCCTGCAAGAACAGAGTCATCCACCAGTAGCACCAATGGTGAAGTAATACAAATACATAAATGTTAGCATCAAATAACCTCTGTTCCCCAGATCTACATGACACATCAAAGTTTGATGAAGTATGAAAGCAAAAAACTACAGTGTTGGTGGTTGCGTGTCCTCTTTCAGAAGTATGTCACACCTATGGAGAAATCTAAGAATCTTTTCTCATCCTCCACAGCCACTGCTGAATTACACATAGCCAAGTATTCCAAGGAGAAATCTACAGATCCACTAATAAATGTGTAAGTAGCAATAAACATGCTTTGTTCAAAACATCAGTCAAAACCCAGAGGAGTTCTAGGAAATAGAAGAATCCAGCTTCAGAGCCATGAACAATGTCTATTCCTCCCTTTCATCATGTTCAACTTCTGTTGCTTCTCAGTAACTGGCCTCTTTGCAAGAGAAAGCCAGGAAAGAAAAATATGAGGAGTTATTCTATGTACAGAAAGAACCCTAGGGCACCTGTGTACCACCACTCCGTAAAGCATACTGTAAACTTTATACAAAAGTATGCTCTAATTCCATATATATAGAGTACGCTTCAGCCAAGATTCTCAAGTCACCTTACCCCATTAGTTAACTTTTGATACCTATGTACTTGTGAGGAGTATCCTCTTGTTGACCACTTGGTCACAATCTCTTCTCGTGTAAGTAACTGTTCTAAGGTCACACAGAGTCTCGGTTGCAGAGCCAGAAATAGCAAACAGACTCTCCCAACTTCTAGTTTTCTATTTTAACAACTATACTTCACTTCTTCCCTTTAACACTGCAATCCATGCAAACATAATATTGCAATCCAGTGATGTGACTACAACTCTGTGAACCGAGATCTAACCAACCAGGAGCCAGACTGCTAGAGCAGGATGTGGAAGCCCTGCGGCAACAAACGAAGAAGGGGAGCTGTGCCCAACATGGGCAAATGCAAGGTCTCTGATATGTGCATTATATTTTTTTAAAAAGTAATCATTTGAAGCCAGTTTATAATTCAATCTCAAGAGTCCAGTGACACCACAAAGGCAATGAAAATTATGGTCACAACCACACAATTGACAGTTACTTACACTGCTTTTGAAACACACACACACACACACAGGATTATAAATCTTCACATTCAGATTTAATAAAATAATAAGCCATAATAGCTATTGACAAGTCACAAAGGTGTAATGTTTGGATACAAAACCACTCTTAGGCCTGTGATTTCATTAGTTCAACTTGTTGCCATAGAAGGCGTAGAGACTGTATGAACCTTCTAAACATCAGCAAGTATAGAACACAGTAGCAATACAAACAAACAAAATACTGGATAGTCTCAACTTGCATCAAACCTTCATATTGACTGCAAGTTGGGAAAAGGGCTGCAGTCATAGAAATTAGATATTCAGAACATAGGATTGCATTCTCTGGATCAGCTGCAAAAAAATCAAAGGTTTAAAAAGGAAAATTTAAAAAGTGGGTTTCATTGAAACACAGCAAAATTTCTCAATTTTAACAACTTTTTAAAAATTAATTCCAGAGGAGGCAGTCTGCTTCCCCAAGACAGAGACTTGGCAATTGGTTTAATTTTTAGCCAGTTGACAAAACGCTTAGATTATAGCTTCCTTAAATGGAACAGGAAAAAAAAAATCACTTTGTTTGCTCTAATAATATTTATAAAGCATGTCCTATGAGGACAATGTAGAGCAATAAGAAGATTATAAAAACTCCAAATACTATAAAGCCAACCATGAAAAGGAAGTCTGCTGACATTTCAGAATTGATGGGGTGATCTGAAAAGGTTCTGATCTAATGCAGAGGAAAATGGATTACAGCAGATAATTATATACAGAGTAGTCCGAAGACCCTTCCTTCTTACCGCCTGCCCCCCAATTATATTTAAGCAGGTGGGATTTTCTTCCCTCCATTCCCACCAGCCATATTAATTCTTAATTCTAAAAATGAAATAGTATGGATTTGTAGTTAAACTCTGCCTTAGTTGAAGTTACAAGACTGATTTTATGGCTTTTCTTAATTTCTTCCCCGAGTAGATGAATGAAACAAGACAGAGTCCATATTAACTGCAACTATGCTCTTTTCCCTCCTCTCCCCCCCCCCCCCCCCCGCATCCCCCTTCTGTTCTGAAATGTGATTTGTCCTTGATTGAGTTTACCCTGCTGGGACCAGAATGTAATCATTCGTGACCTTTCAATAGGATATGTCTGAACTACACTGGTCAGTATCTCCTAAGCCAACAACTCTTCACACATGTCTGAACACAAAAGAACTTTGTAAATGTATACAGAGACATGAACTGGGCACAAGTGGGTCCCTGCTTCAAGTCTGGACTCAAGGCTACAGACAGAGCAGCATAGTTTTTCTTATTACAACAATAACTCTGAAACCAGCTAAACAAAGTGGTTTCATAGCATCCTAGTCACCGCCACCTAGTTAGTCCCTCAGACACAGAATACAGGCACATTCCAAGCAGAGACTCTGACATTGCCCCATACATATACATGGGCTCCTGGTCAGTGTGTATATTAGTTAATCTCTTTGGAGGTCTTTGTTATTGTTGGTGCTTATCTCACATCCAAGCCCTCATACACAGATCAGTTCTTGACTACCATTCCTTGGGAAGAGCCCAACATATGTTATAAATTCTTAGCACAATTAACACAAAGAATCATCAAAAGAATCATCTTTATTCTCAGCAGAGAACATAGTGTCCCACAACAGCACCTTCCATTACACAGTAGTCATCCCTTCATAGTGTTTTCTATAGAGGGATCCTCTCTTCCCTAGTCCTTCTGCCCCTTCCTCCCATTCACTTTTTTCTACAGTAGGGTCCAACTCCCTTCTCCCCTGGCTCCCCACCCTACACATGGTGGCGCTAGACAAGAGCAGACTGACCAATTACACCCCAAGAAGTTTAAGGGGGGGATTTATTATTGCCCCCAAAATACAGTTAATTTGATTGAACGTGGGCTTTGTAACAAGTGCATTAATATGCATTAGGCTGGTTTTTGGTTGGTGCAAAGAACTTCAGTATTTTAGGGGGTGGGCGAGAGATCCGCCCCCCAAGGGCTAGCACTACCTCTTGCGATTTCTGCAATGCTTACTTCTCTCCGCGCACACCGGTATTTTCCTTACCGCAGCAGCGCTTCAGACCCCAGGATAATGGCTGCTCTTGGGGCAAGGCTTTCCTGGACCCGCCACCCGGG